CCCGCCGTGTCCACCAGCACCACGTCAAAGCCCTGGTTCCGAGCTGGGTGGACGAGGAGACAGCGTTCAGCGGGACTCTTCCCCGAAACAGCGTCTCCCACCACCGGTTTTCCCACCTACCGTAAGAGATGGCCTCCATGGCAATCCCGGCAGCGTCCTTCCCATAGCCCTTCTCGTAGAGCTGCACCATGGTCCGCCCGCCGTGGCTTTCCGGAGGGTGCAGGGCGTTGAGGCGACGGGTGTGGGTACGGAGCTGCTCCACCGCTCCGGCGCGGAAGGTGTCGCAGGCGGCGATGAGGACGCTGAAACCGTTCTCGATGAGCCAGAATGAGATCTGCGGGTGGCAACAGATCCAAGAAAGCCCGTTAGCAGCCCCAGCCTGACCTCGTCACCCCGGTCCCAGAGAGCCGGGAGGATGGTGTCCTACCTTGGCCAGGTTGGTGGACTTCCCAACGCCATTGACACCACAGAAGGTGACCACGTAGGGTCGGCGATGGCGCTGAGCATCCATGACGTCACGGAGGACGTCTACACGGCGCTGGGGCTGCAGGATCTGCACAAGAGCCTCCTGCAGGGCCTGCTTCACCGTCGAGGTCACCGCTGGGAAGGAGGAGACGGGAAGAGAACCCGTCACACCTGGGGAACGCTCCTGAGCCCCAAACCACAAGCGGGAAGCCCCGCAGCCACTTACTGGTGAACGTTCCCATCACCTTCCCTTCCAGTTTCTTAGCCACCGACTCACAGAGCTGCACTGCGATCTCAGCTGCCACGTTTTTCGCTTGGAGAAAGAGACACAGAGGGGGAGTTAGCGCCACTGAGGAGGTCACACACGCTCCAGACATCGGCGTCAAGGGAAGGATGGATCCCTGTGCAGGATCCCCACGGGGCCAGACCATTGCCCCCCTTCCGATGAGCTGTTGAGAGCTCCCCAGAGGTGAGACAGGAACCCACCACAGTTCTTGTGGGCAAGAACGACCCGAGCTGTGGGTGCTGCTCCCCACCAGGGCCACCCGATGGAACACAGGGAACCATCTCAAACTTGCAGTGGATCCAGACATACCAATCAAGTGATCCTTCATCTTCTCCAGGACGGGGTCCATGTCCTGTCTTGTCAAGCTCTTGGAGCCCACCAGGCCTTTCAGCATGCCAAACATGCCCCCCAGGCCGCCCTTCTTCGTGCTGCGGAGAAGGAGAGGAGTCACCTTTGGGTTCAAGGAGCGAGTCGCGCAGATTCAAGAAGAGCCCACCACACAGCTGACAAGCACCAGTTTGTCCCCACTGCATGACTGGTTGGACTGGAAGAGGAGTTATGGGAGAGAAATCCAGAAACGTGTGCCAAGCGGGGAGCCTCTACCTGGGTTTCGAAGGGTTCTGAACAACCTTCTCCTCCTCAGCTTCGTCGTCACTCTCGTACTCGAGGTCGTAGAGGCGCCCGGGCTCCCGATTCCGATCCCCTAGGGCCTGCCAGGGGCGGAAAGACGCACCCTGAGAAACCAGCGACCGCTTTCCGCCGTCTCCCGCAAGAAGAGTTATCATCAGCAGCCTTACGAGCCACCATTCCCGTTTCTCCCACCTTCCCAGCCAGCCGTGGACACCAGGCTGGGTTTGCACCGCCCAGCCGATCCCAGTACTAAAGCGGACAGAGCGCCCTGACTTGTTCCTTACTGGCTCGGGGTCAAATTCCTCCACGGGACAAGCCTCCGCGCTCCCGTTGGTAGTGGAGTTACTGTAATCCAGTACTTTGGCGTTGGAGTTCCCCAGATCCCACACTCGGGGCTTCTTGCCCTTCTCCTTCTGCGCCTCGGGCTTCGGAGATTTGCTGAAATAAAGACCAGGAACATGTTTCGTTCAGCAGCCATCGCCTTCCAAGCAAGCATGAAAACTAAAAGCCCAAAAAAGCAGAAATTAAGGCCAAACCTGGCCGATTCCAAGTCTCCAGAGTTTATTTATCTCAACTTTAACCCTTTATCAGTCCCTTCGCCTCGAGCCAGGCATCCATGCGCCGCTGCCCTGTGCTCACAGCCAGAAAGCCCCACCAGGAAGAGGTGTGGACCTCTCCCAGGCACATGCTGGGTTCCTGGGTCTCCCAGGGAAGGGATCAGGCTCTGTTACCCCTCCAGGACCCCCAGCATGCCCTCTCCCAGTCTTTCCAGCAAGGAGAAATGTAAGGAAAAAGGGAAATAACATCCAGGAAAGCAAAGTCTGACTTCCAGAGGTCACTGAAGGAAGGAGAGACTCGACCATGGCTGAGGGACACCAGGAAGAGCTGGATGAAGCACGAGTGGACCGACCGTGCCCTCGTTACCCACCTGGACTTCTCCCCTGCCTTCATGTGTCTCTTGAAGAATTCCTCCCGGTTCTTCTGCAGGATTTCATCCTTGGTCAGTTCCTCCCTGTCCCCGGTTGCGGAGGGCTGCTTGTCACCCGCCGACGCTTTCCC